AACTTTACCTTGGAGCTCTTTTAGCTATAAGTTTTACCATTTTTAGATCGAAAACCAAAATTTTCCACATTAAACAACACCAATGTGTATGTTTCCCTTGTTTGTATTCAAAGAAATGTTTAAATACATGAAGAAGAATTCTAGGTTATTACGTATGCTTTACTTTTTATAGTTAAACGTGTGTTAAAACTATGTTAAAAAAAACTATGTTGGTCTCAGCATTTGCATGTTAATTTATATGTCTTTAGAGAAAGGGAGTTCGAACACTGTAATGGAGTAAAAGTGAATCATACTAAATTATGATCTTGGAGAGAAGAATTTTGTATACAAACTTTTCATGATAATAGAGGTTTTCTTTCTTGATATGTATATGTAATACATGAATGTATATATGTATGTAAATTACTTATCTAGAATAGAATGAATCTGTAAGTGGATAAACCAAAAAGTCAGTAGCAGTTATTCATGTATGCTGGGATTAAGAAAGGCTTTATTTTTCTCTCTTTGCCTAATTTTTATTGTCTGACGTACAGTCTAGAACATGATTCAGGTCTGTTTTTCATAGGAATGCTGTAAGTCATACTTGATTCAGTGACACCTAACAATAACAACAACAACAACAACAGAGATTTTTTGGTGGCTTTGTGGTAAGGAGCTGTGCTGCCTGCCATCCCAATGGCATATAGTTGAAATACACAAGTTATTTTGCAGGAGAAAAATCTGTTCCCATGTGATTAAGCTGCCTCTGGAAACCTGCTGGAGGATAAGCTATGAGTTGGTTCCAACTAAACAGTAAACAAAAAGTACAAATTTTTCTACAGAGTAAATACTGTACTTTTGTATTGATAGATTTTAAAAGAGGTAATAATATGACTATAAAAGTGTGAGGAGAAAAAAATGGGTTATTTCTTGGTCAAACACTACTAAGTTCAGTGATTAGATTTAGAGACTTAGTAGTTGCTTTCAGAAGATTTGACCATTAGTACTTCTCCCCAGGTTTATTATAAAATTCTGCATAATTCTTAATATTTAAACTAAATTTTGCTTTTTATAAATAGCGCTTAGTGATTTTTAGTGTTACTGTGAATTAAAAATTGAGGTGATGTTAAAAAAAGAAAAACAAACCAGAAAACATTTCTTTCTCTTGTTTTGGCATTAAGCAAATATAGAATATCTGTTGTCATTATTTTAGCTCTTTTATATAGTTCTAAACTCTGGGACTTCTTTATAGTAATATTTAACTTTTAGTTTCTAGGTTAATTTTTAGATAGAATACACATAATTAACAAGGAAAATGTTTAAGCCTTTTTTGCTTCTGAAAATTTCTTTTGTTAAATACTTAAAATACATAAAAAGCTGAAAACTTACACCGTCATTGACAGTGACTTTTTTCTGAATTTGAGTGGAATATTCTCTAACTCCAGGGTTGATGGAATGAATTGAGAGATCCATTTGGTGAGTGATGTGTCTGGCTGCCATAAAGAGAGTAGGCTTTGAAAGTCAGCTTTATCCTTTCAGTCACTGTCTGCCTTAGAGCTTGAAATTCCAGTCCTGAGCTGTTGACCATTAGTTGGCCATCCCTGTACAGCATACCCTGTCCTCTTTAAGGACTCCAGAGTGAGTGATGAAGTGATGGCTGCATGCACCACGGCCCCGGAGAACATACATGAATATCGTGATGTGCTCTGGGCAGAGATAGAAGCAACCTCTGTTCCTGTGGCTTATGTTCACCTTAGGAAGGTCAGAGACATACACGTGGTAGGAGACTGTTCGTGTATTAGAAGAACTGAGTGGGTAGCTTGCTTGCTCGCCCTTGGCATCCGTTTATGAGGTGCTTTGGCACAGCATTGGCCTGGGCATGTAGTCCTGCTGTGAATGCTGGACCCTCCTTACGTTAGACCTGTTGCAGGTAAGTGGCTGAAGGAGCTAACGGCAAACCATAGACCAAGTCTGGAAGAAGGTTCTGGTCTAAAAAGAACTCTTCTGTTCAGAAAAGACAAATTGAGGAATAAACGGACCACAACAACAAAACCTCAAAACAACATTTGGACAAAATAGGAGATTTCAGAGAGTGTAGAAATTGTCTTGAATAACAAGTGACAGGAAACAGCATCCTAAAATTTGAAAACAGAATTTTTAATAATTTTTCTACAAGAATTAAAAACATTTTTTCTTTTTTATGAAAATTATAAAAGGGAATTTTTTAATGAACATTATTTGCCATAAATTAGACATAACCATTATACATGAGGAAAGTGTTTAAAACACTAAACTGAAAAAAAAAAAAAGAATATCAAGATGAGATGAATAGGAATCACAAAGAAATTATAATTATTAAAAAATGGTAATTGTATTAATAGGTAAAATGTATATGTGAAAATGGAACCATAAATGGAAATATATTAATATTTTACTTACTCTTTTATCTATTCAAACAAACATTAAATGCCTGTTTTTTGCCATTATTTTATTCCATGGAAAGAGTATATAAAAGACAAATTTATATCTAGTTAAGTATTAGAGGTTCATGATTTGTTTTCTACGTAACATTTCATTGTGTATTTCTGTTATTTGCAATAAGTGGTGTGTCATTGGCTAATTAAAGGATGACTGTCCCTAAATTCTAGGTGACTGTATCTTGGTTCCAAAATGTGTGGAATAGGTAAGATGTCTTTTAGAGCCGTTTACCTCAGGATGAAAGCTTTTTAGAGTGTTAGGATGATGCTGACCAAAGAAAGCTCTGAGGGAGAATCATGGGCTGTCTCCTCCTGCTAAGATTAAAAGACTGGGAAAGCGGGTAGAAGGTATCTGACGGAGACTCAAGTTCATGGCAGTGAGGATGATGAGGACTTATGCCTCATGATGCCACTGTCCTGCAAAATGGTAACAGGTAGAGAAAAACAAAACAAAGAATGCTTCTCACTTCTTGTTTCTTAAGTGTTATAATTTGTTACCTCATTAGTTTATGGACTACATAAGCCTTGAAACAGCTGTTTTAATGTTACCTTTAATAGACAGATAAAACTTACATTTGTGTAGTTATAATCATGTATTTCCCCCTTTATAGTCTTTGAAAACCTTTTTTATTTTATGCTCAAATTTATTTTTATTTTTTTATTAATTTTAATGAAAATTTACAGACTTGAATTTCCATTCATTCATTGTTGCATTTTTCTCTCTGCCCAACCTCCCGCCCACCTTCACTCTTCTCTTTTAAGAGTAAAAGAAAAATTCTTTCATTGTTATACAGTCCCTCCCCACAAGTCCATTCCACTGTGTAGCCTTCATTTTGAAAAGTGAAAACTTTTCTTTTTAAGCTACCCCAGGGATCGACAAACCATGGTCCACCAGCCACGTTCTTCTGCTTTTGTTTCTGTATGACCTGTGAAATAAATTTACATTTTGAAGTGAATGTAATAAAATAAAAAGAATATATCAGAGCAGGTGAAAATTATATGAGATTCTAATTTTAGTATTTCATTTCAAATAAAATAATATTTTCTTGGAATAAAGCTGCACTTAATTTTTTGTTGTCAGTGACTACTGTTGTCCTATAACAATACATTTGTTGCAATAGAGACTATAGTTTGGTCTGCGAAACCTAAAACTTTTATTGTCCTGCCCTTTGCAAACAAACATTTGGTAATCTTTGAGCGATAGTGTGCTTATGTGATTCTGGTCAACTGTCTCATTTAAATTTTCCTATTTAAAGATCTCACCAAGTAACACCTGAACAGAGTTTGGAAGGTGGAAGGGACTGAAGTGGGTCTGCTTGAAGTTTATACTACAAATACTCTCTTTTTCAGTTGTTTAACCATATTTTTATAATAAGTACTGACATGAAAGTTATAAATTGTCAGATACTGTTCCAAAGGATGTATATTTTATCTAAATCTTCATAACAGCTCTGTGCCTCTACTCTGTCAAGAAGGGAGCTCTTGTGGTGTGATCCCCATGGGGTTTGTGCTGGTAACAAGAGTGCTTCTCGAATCCACTGTGGACTCATGGACAAAGAGGGGCACTCTCTTCCCGTGCTGTTTATAGCTTCTGAAAACCCACTAGAAGGTCAGCTGTGTCTGTTCCAACTTGACAGCAATGAGTCTTTGAAACTCTGTTAGCTAACGTTGTGTAATAGAGAGTTTAAGTTACTTAGCCTTAATTATTGATGATTTGAATGCACCCATCTAATTCTTAACAACTGTGCTGTGCTCCAACTTCATGCATACTCTTGCTTATTTGTAAAAACTTTATGTTAAGAGTAGAACTTCAAAATGCAATTTAAACCCAGAAACCCTAAATGAAAAGTGGAAAATATACATCAAGAATTTCTGGTGCTTAGCTCTTTCTTTTTTGGTGATCATCCTGTTTGGGGTTATATCCTCTGTGGATGCTGTATATCCTCTTTGGACACATTGTATCCTCTCAGGATGTGTTGTTTCCTCTCTAGATGTATCCTCTCCACTCTGATGTGTTGTATCCTTTCTAGATGTATCATATTCTTTCTGGATGTGTTATGTCCTCTCTGGATGTATTAAATCCAATCAGGATGCATTGTATCCTGTCTGGATTTACTGGTCTCAGTTCTTGCCTTTTCCTTACTTCTCTTTGCTCATGATTCATTTTAAGACCGTGCTTTATTCTGGACATTTTATTTAAACTCTGTTATATGAGTTGTATATTTTAAGAAATATTTTCTCAGTTGCCATCATACTCTAAGAAGATTAATTTGCCATCATTCTTGTGAATTTATAATAGCTGATTCAGAAACTATTGGTGTGCTGGTGACTGAGTTCTGGTAGCTTCCTTGTAAAGATCTTATACACCCTGAGTTTGTAAGTAAGGCTGTATATCTTGTTGTTTGTTGGCTTTTGTTATTTGATCGTCATCATTATTAAATAGCTGATTTTGTGAGATACGGAGCTGCCATAGTTCTAAATCTTGAAACTTCTCTTTTGAAAAAGTAGGGTAATTGGTGTCATGTTTTTCTGTTTGTTTTACAGGGTGCCCGGGAAACATTTGAGAACTACTACAGGAAACAGAGACGAAAACAAGCCCGCTTGGTTCTGCAGCCTCCATCCAACATGGTAGGCTTCCCACCATGATCAAGTCCTTAATCTGTGCATATATACTGATTGAATCCTTTTTATTATTTTTCATCCATTCTCGTTTGTTTGTTTGTTTGACTCTCACACTTAGAGGTATTTTGGTGGATGAAAATGGTAGCTAACATTTGTGCTTGCTGTGTATCACATGTTGAAGTATTGGATATATCTTGTCTGATTTCATCCTCTCTATATGCGTGTAAAGTAGTACTGTTGTGTCTACGGCATGTTCTTAGGAAAAGAACCTTAAGTAACTGATTTTAACTTTATTTTAATGTGAAAAGAAATAAATCACTTTTTCTCTGTTTGTTGCAGCATGAAACTTTAGAAGGCTACAGGAAGTATTTTAATCAAATTGTAGGGTATGTATATCTATATATTAAATGTATATAGTTTGATTAGGTAAATTGTGACATTTAGAAAAAAAGATTTCTAATTTTTTCTTGAGAAATTCTTTTTCGAAATCCTTAGAGAGACAAGATTAATTTCTTTTGTGTTTATCAATCTGTGGACTCCAGTGAATTCCTGGGAGGAAGATACTGAATTATAGTGCCATAGTATTCGATGCTTTATCTTCTTTATTAATAAGAAAGAACAAAATGATCTACCAAAGTTGTAAATTTTTTTAAGGCAGTATCAGATAATAAAAAGTGAGTTCCGGTAATGGCATCCAGAGGGAGTGGTGCTGCTAACCCACAGGTAGCCTTCTCTGGTCGTTCAGACCCACCAGCAGCCCTGAGAGAGAAAGATGGGCAGTCTCGTCCTGTGTCAGTTAGAGCCTCAGAATCACCTATGAGTTGGTTTCAACTCGACGGCAGTGACATTGAGAATGAGGTAGCTAGTCAACACTTTAAACTTTTCAGACCACAGCCTCTGTTATGTTGCAACACCAAAGCAGCCTTACATAATACCTAAATGAATGATTTTGGCTGTGTTTTAATAAAGCTTTATTCATAAAAATGGACTGTAGGCCACAGTGGTAATTTGTCACCCTTAATATGGAGTGTATTTCCTAGTGGGATTGAAGTTTCAAAATAAACCTTCAAAATACAAGCAGCTTTTATTAGTGGTAAAATAATCACCTGGAATTAAAAGAAAGAAAATTTAGTTGCATTATTCTTTCACATTTCTTTTGGATTTAGATTTTTTCAACATAATTAATAATCTTCATTCATATACGTCAAAGGGTTCTTTATTTAAAAATTTGTTAACACATATGTAAAATAACTGAAGAAAGCCACAACAGAATATTTGAAAATAAGAATTTGTTTCTTTTAACCTCTGTACATTGCTTTTTAATGCATAGGTGGACATCCTTATGAAGGAAATTATTTTAGATTTTGTGTTTATTATTAAAAATACATACTTTAGCTTTCATTGTCTCTTTCAGATCTATTGATTTGGTGAAAATTTGCTGTCTTTTCATTTGTAAAATATTAAAAATAGTCATGTTTACCTATAAACATTTTCCTTCCTTTTAATTTGCTTCATTTAATGAGTAATATTTAATAGAGATACTACTTCAATCTAAGAAGAAAGATTGAGCAGGAAAAGAATCTTTGGTGTAAGAATTCTGATTTTATTTATGATATCAAATACCCTTTTTAATGGGAAAAATGCTGATTTTTTGTTTGTTTGTTTTGTGGGGTTTTTGGGTATTTTCCCCCCATTTTTAAAAATAGTTTATTGACAAAACTTGAATACAAATTCAAACAAATTCTTTCAATTTCCCTCACTCCCACACCCATCAAATTGTACAACTCAGTGATTAATCACCCAAATTTTTGAACAGAATTTATTGGTAACTCTTCATGTTTATCAAACCATGGAGGTATTGGTCAAACTCTAATTTATGACATATATACTTTTTTATTTCCCCCTGAATCAGCTTTTTTGTGGTTGAAGATCACATTTTACATACAACCCAAGGCTTGGTAAATAGAGCGTATATTGATGAACTATGGGAAATGGCACTTTCAAAAACCATCGCTGCACTTCGTACTCACTCGGTATGTAAGAGGCCCAAAAGATGTTCTTAGAACTGCTTATGTATGTACTATTTAGTATTTTATTGCTATGAGTGTTGTTTGGAATCAACCATTTCACTTTTGTCTTCAAAGACACATGAAAGTAGCCCCTTCACATTGCCATGTTTTTGGTTTTTGGGTGTTTTTTTGCAATTAGAAGACAAAGTAACATCTATTGATTGCACTTTATGTGTTTGCCATTGTTCTATGTACTTCGTATGTAATGCCTTAGTCCATCTTTTTTTTTTAACTGTTTAAAATAGATACTGTTATATTTACCTTATTGTTGAGGGAACTGAGCCTCAGAGGGATTAAGTAACCAGCCTAAAGTCAGTAAGGATGGAGTTTGGATTCAAACCCAAGTTGTCTGACTCCTAATTCCATAGCCTCAGCTCCTACTCTGTGTTATTACACGGAGCTCTGTTGGTTTTGTAGTAAGAAGCTGTTCTAATCCCAAAAACACATAATGTGAATCCCCCAGCTGCTCCATGGGAGAAGGATGGGCAGTCTCCTCCTGTGTGATTTACAGCCTCTCCCCCACTGCAGGGTCAGCTGAGTCAGTTTCGACTTGACTGCATACAGCAACAACTCTATATTACCTTCTATAATGCCTCTCAGTGCTATAACAATGAGTTGAGGCTTATAATTCCTCCCTTATGTTTTTGGGAGAGGGAAGGTTACGTTGTAACAATAAACTACCTAATGATTTTCAAGGTCTCTTGTTATATTAAGGCAACTCTGTTGTGCCATCCTCACTTTCATAAATGTTTCAGTACTATGTCCGTCTGTCTCATAGACAGTTGTCGTCTTTTGCGGACCTTCTTACCATGCATGATGTCAGTCTCCAGGGACTGCCGCTTCCAGATGACATGTCCAGAGTACTTGAGATAAAATCTTGCCATCCTCATGTCTGTGGAGCTTTCTGGTGTTACTTCTTCCAATGTTGCTTTGTTATTCTTATGGAAGTATATTTGGAAGCAAGAGTGGCATCCACTTCCTAAACAACATGTCTTGGGAAACTCTGTGAACTTTGGATGATAGTTATAGGAAGCTTTGCTAGGAATAGTGCACGATTTGATGGTAATCAACAACAACATGAAAATCTGTAATTTATTCCATATTCTTTGCCAACAGCATAACTCAAAGACATCAGTTCTTCTTTGATCTTCTTTATTTCATTGAAATTAATAATAAATTTAAAAAAAAGAACTAAAGAGAAAAAAAAAGACAGACATGGGGGATTGGGAGAGAATGGGAAAAGAGTGGATAGATAATGAATTACTGCATTAGAATAGATGAGGGGAAGAACTAACCAAAAGGAATTTATAATTAAGTATTAAATATATGACAACAGTCTGGAACAAGGGATGTATTGCAGGGTGGGCTGGGTGGGGGTGGGGGAGAAAATGTATAACAATGAAAAAATATTAAAAGGGGAAAAGCAACTAAATGATGACGTTGGACAATTTTGCAGCAAAGGTCTTTAACGTTTCTTTTTTTAAGTCTTTAAAGGGGTTTTCTTTTTTAAAAAAAATTGGTTTGCATATAATCATTCATATATACAGTTTTTCATTCACATATACAGTGTTTTATACAATCATTCATGTACATTGTATTTCAGACAGTCATTCATATACATAATGTTTCATCCATGTATATTGTTTTTCAAAGATAACACTTTCGGATCTAAGTGACCCAGACCAGGGTCTTTCAGATGCCTCATATGGTTGTAAAAGCTGAAGAAAGAATAACAAAGAAGAAGAATAAAAAGGTTGGATGTCTCTGACTTACGGTGTTGGTGAAGAATATTTAATAAACCATGGCCTGGTGTAAGAATGGACAAATCAGTCTTGGAAAAAGTAACACCAGAATGAATGTTCCTTAGAAGTGAGAAAGACAAAACCTTGTCTCAAGTGCTCTGGTCATGTCGTCAGGAGGGACCAGTCTCTGGACAAAGATAAAGCACTTGAAGACTGTCAGTGAGATGGATTGACACAGTGCCTGTGTCCGTGAGCTTGAGCACAGCCGTGATTGTGAAGATGTGGTGTTCTCCTGGTACATGGTCACTATGGGACAGAACCAACAGGACAGCACTTAATAACAACAGCATTCTTTCTGTTTTATTTCTCAGAAATGCTTTTTTTTTGGTGAGAATTTTGCTGGTCGGCTATTCACCTTACATTGTTTTTGAACTATGTCTACTGATTTTCCGTTTTTCAGTTAGTTCTGCCCTGAAAAAAGCTGTCATCTTTGCTACTTCTCCAGGTAGCCTTTGTGTAGTTCAGGACAGGAAATGTGCAGTAATTTATAAATAAATGCTGTTTTGCCTACAACCAGGAACAAAAGGTCCCCTTGTAGGTATTCAGGCTACTCTTTCAGGTTGACTTCCAAGCCAGGGACAGAGTCGGGAATGGCAAGGGGAGAAGGTCATAACATTTTCAAAAGATTTTTCTTTTATGGTTTTAACTTGCCTTTTAACTTAGTATTCATTTATTTGTTGATGAGAGCTTTACTTTGACTGATAAAATTTATTTTTATAGTTTCTGGGTATTTTTATCTTCAGTTCTTCTTTATTTAAACTCTGAGAGAATGAAAAAGAGGAGAAATCCATCAACTCATTTTATGAAGCATGTGTCATCTTGGTACTGAAACCAGATGACGATTATAGCAGAGCGCATGAATTTACAAATATAATCAGGCTCATTCATAAATATAGATCAGAAATCTTTAGTTACTAGAAACCGTAAACCAGCCATCTACTGAGAAATAATCTGGTCTCCACACATCATTTTTTATCTATTAACATGAGATAAAGTAAAATAGATACATAAATAGATAAATCTCCAAATTTGTTAGATACTTAATTATTTGTAAAATTCAATCCTAATAAGAATTCCTGAAAAAGAAGATGCATGTTAAAAAAAAAATCTAAGTGAAGGTTTTATGTGATTACTGAAAAAAAGTAAAAAGAAATGAGTAAAAAGGATATTGTTTATAAAATAATTAAGAAGAACTGACTCAATAAAAAGCAGGAATGAAGCAAAACATGAAATTAAGAATTGTAATTAGTGAATTTAAAAAGACAGGAGTAGGTCCAGATATGTCCAAGAAATGTCAAAAGAGTTTGAAAACTATATATTGATTAGTTGCTAGTCAGTTTTGCAAAAACAAAATGACATATCGTTAAGAGTACAGAATGAGGGTTGCAGAGTGGATTATATTTGGGGGTTGGGGGATGTGTGTGCGGGATTGCGTACCAATGAGGGAGTTTTTCTTTTGCTTTTGAAGGAGAGGAGCAAATGGGGGTGGGGTGGGGGTGCCGGGGAGAGAGGTGCAAAAATGAATGAATGGAATTCCAAAATCTGTAGATGTTCATTGAAATGAAAAATAGAGAAATTTAAAAAAAAAAAAGAAATATATTTTCTCATGAAAGGAAATCCATGTCTCTGTAAATTTTCATTGAAATTAATAATAAATTTTAAAAAAGAATAAAAATATATTTTATCAGAATAAAAAGGAAGTTTGAAAATAAGAGGAATGCAGAAAATGAAAGTAGGGTGAAGCACTAGAGCATTTTAGGGGGATAAAAGGGATTTTTTTTTTAAATATACCCCCTCCTCACCCAGCAGTGTGGTTGAATGTAAGAGATTAATTCAGTTAGAGAAATCAGTACTATGCAAAAATCAAGGATGACTGAATCATTACATCAACTCCCAATTACATCTTTCCATAGTTCCTAAATAATATCATTACATAACAGCAAAATTAACTTGTCAAACCAGTGAGAATCAACTGTAACCATTACAATCAGTATTACTTTTTGTCTCATAATTCATAGTTATTGCTAAGTATGGGCAAATTAATTAGATAGAATCTTTACTCTTCTTGTAAAATATTGGGCAAGATAACTGATGAATAAGGAATGTTGTGTACAGTCAAGTTGGAACCAACCCATTGCTGACCCTTCAGCATGTTTCCAGAGGCAGTTATCACATGAACAGAGATTACCCATTTTCCTCCTACTGGGCACCTGATAGATTCCAACTATGTACCTTTGTGGTGATAGCCAGAATTCTGACTAATCTGACTAAGCCACCAAATAAGGAGCAGATATATTAATTTTAAACACCAAGAAGACAGCCACCAAATAAGGAATATAGATATATGAATTTTAAACGCCCAAAAAGAAAATCTGTAGCTACATTAGGTGGAAGAAGGAAGCCTCGATCTTTGTAACACCAAAGCTAAGTCATAAAAAGACAAAGTGACAGTCACATTATTTTGGGAAAATTCAGAATATAGCTGTCAGAGCTTGAGAGAAGGACCAAAGTTCTGTTAGAGAGAACCTAAATACCAGATCAGTGCATTTGCGTGAAGTAGCCACTTTTTTATCTTTGCATTCACCAAATACGCCATTTAAATCTTCAAATTTGTACCTAATGAAGTTATGCATGAATATTATATGGAATATTTACTTCCTGTGTATTTTATGCCTGTTTTTCTCTTTCTTAAATTTTATATTGATTTGCCTACAAAATTCATATTCATTGTGTTTCATTCTTATGCATTGTTTTTCATACCTTCCTTCATTCTCATTGTGTTTCATGCAATAATTTCCATACATTGTGTTTTATAAAATTAATCACCATTCATCTATTCTCACTATTATCCTATCTTTTCAGGCCCCTACTGATCTTTCTTAATTCCTTCACCCCTTTCCCTCCGCCCACCAAACTGTAACCTCATAATTTTTCATCCTCAGTCCCCCAATTCCTTACTTCTTTGGATTCTTATACACATCTTGCTAGTTATCCTTTGATTTTTACAGTAATAGTCTTATGCTTTATTTGTCCCTATGAAGCTGAGTTCATTCAGCATAATGCTTTCCAGCCTCTCCCATTGTTACATAGTATTTTTTTTTAATTGTTGCTCTTGAGTGCTACATAGTATTCCATTGTGTACCACAATTTTTAGTCCTTTTCATTTGTTGATGGACTTTAGGGCTGTTTTCATTTTCTTGTTACTGTTTTCTTTTCCCTTTTTTCTCTTGTTTCTGTTATTTAGTTTGGTTTTTACTCTTTATTGTTTAATTAAACTTGCCAAATGTTTGCTTATGGGCTTTTGGCATAATCAAATATTTTGTTTTATTAATTTTTTTCTCTCATTTACTAATATTTTCATGTTACTTTGTTATTAATAGCCTTAACTATGATACCACTTTGATGTGAAGTATTTTATTGTTGTTCATTAAAAAAAATAGTCCATAATAGCAATTTTAGTTTCTTATTTTATTGAAGAGTTATTTAGAAATGTGTTTAATTTTCAAGTATTAAAAATGTAGACCATAGTGTATTAAACTCTTTTAATCTTAGCTTTTCCTTAGATAAATTTAATTTCACCTTATGCCAGGAAAGAGTGGAACCATGTAGAGGGTGTCTCTTGAGGGGGAAGCATTAAGCAAATACATTAAAATTTCATTTTTCTTTTAATCATTCTTTTTCCTTTTACATTTTATTCCTTTAGTCTTACTGCTCTGACCCAAACCTCGTGTTAGATTTGAAGAATCTCATAGTGCTTTTTGCTGACACACTTCAGGTATGTGACGTTTGTTTGCATGTGGGAGCTCTGGTGGGAGTAGTACCACTAACCCAAGAGCGGTGCCAGTTACCTTTCAAATCCACCAGCTGCTCCAAGTGAGAAAGGCAAACCGTCTCCTCCCAGGTGATTTACACCTTTAGAAACCGCTGGAAGGTGGATTCCTGCTCCACAGTCACTTTGACTTTTTAACTTTATGTATGCTCATCTAAGCTAGTTCATCAGCTCTAAATCTTTGTCACTGGCTTCCTAACCTTGAGTACAGACCTTTTGGTATTTCAATATATTTCTTATTAATAGGCCCCTTTTAAAATTTCTTAATAGCATTTTCTGCTTTTCACATTGACCCTTTATATTCTCATAAATACCTCCTTCCCCCCCTTTTTTTTCTCTCATCACATCTCATGAAATAATAAACTGTCTTTGTTTTTCAAGATGTTCTGCATTTAGATAAGTACATGAATAACTTTGTTGTTGTTGATTGTGTGGAGTTGAGGTCTACTCATAGCAACTCTATGAACAAAAGACCTAATGTCTTTCCGTAGCTATCGTTGTTTCTCCAAGTTCATAGTTTCCAGAGGAAGTGGATGCCATTCCTGCTTCCCAACCTATTTTACAACTGGGAGCTCTACCAAACACTGTCAACAATGGGAAACCATTCTGGTATTTGATATCCCCATGGCACAAGGTTCAGCATCATGGAAGACCCAGGTTACCTCATACAGCACAGTGACAAAGAGTGATGTGCAAAGTGGAAGAATATTCTTTCAGATATAACAACACTAGTCTCAATTAGCAGTGATTAAGCGTTGTCGAGTCAAGTAAGCTTTGCACAATAGACCTGAACTCTGTTCTTAATTAACATCATTTCTGTGCATTAATAAATAACTTTAGAGTTTATTAATTCCCCACTTTTTGTTGCAAAACCCCAACCATTGCAATTGAGTCAGCTCTCACTCCTCGCCTGAAGGGCAAAGAAGATTCTGTACTCTCTGCAAATGTAAACCACTCCAGCTTTGTCCCATGGAAAAACTGGTGTATTCAGAGCACTGATGTTTCTCATAGCAGCAGTTACTTTCAACATTGTGTCACCAGGGCTCCTTTGATTTTTCTAAACCACTTATTTAAAAAGTTAGCATTGTAAGTGGGCAATACTGGTAGCTTTTTGTTTCTTTTCTGACTCCTTGTGATTGCTATATGGAGTAAGAGTAAGAGTTGTAGGAAGAACTTAATGGATAAATTTTTGTCTTTATCTTGCTCTCTTTTTGCTAAACATTTTTTAATTTTGCAGATAAAGACTCAAGATATCAAGTTGAATATAAGAGTCTAATGTCATTGTCTCATTTCAATTGTTGCCAAAGAACAAAAATTGTTTTCCAGTATTTAATCTTCCTAAGGTTGGTAAAATTCTCCATAGCAAATAAAGCTGTTCTCATGTTTTATTTCAGGTGTACGGTTTTCCTGTAAACCAGCTTTTTGACATGCTTTTAGAAATCAGAGACCAGTATAGTGAAACTCTACTAAAGAAATGGGCAGGTATTTTCAGGTGAGAAAGTATGTCATGCCATTTGTATATGTACTTGCACAAGCGTGGACGCACTGTGTTTAACCACTAAGTTTCTCAGACTTGACATGTGAAAGTGTATGGGGTCTGTATTTTCTAATTTTTGTAGTTTATGATCCAGAATTCTTGCAATTTAAGTGATCGCTAAAGTACAGTTCCCAGTGGATGTAAAATCATACTCAGACTGCAACAGCTAGGCTCCTGCCGCCTCCCAGATTATCTTGTATCTTCTCATTCTGCAGTTTATGTGTATGTGGTTCCATGGGGGGAATGGTGGGAGCAGAGAGTTGAGGAGGGATAGGGGTGAAATCACAGGGTTGCACAATTTGGTGGGTGGAGGGAGAGGGTAAAGGAAATGGGAGAGTACATTTTTCTCCTGCAGAGTCTCGGGTAGATTCCAGCAACCTGAAGTGAGAGGCCTTGGACTTAGCCGAGTGACTCACTAGAGGCTGCCCCCTCAGAGCTCCTGTCAAGAGCTCACCATTGTTCCTTTAATCTTACTCTTCACTTTTTGTGAGCACATCCCTGATCGTTACTTATGCTAACTCATTTTGTGTTAATGTCATTTGTATTCCCTACCCCAGTTTGATCTAGTGAGTTGTTTTATTTAGCAGAGAGTTACCGTCTCTAGGAAGGTTAAAAGTTCATAATAGAACATGAGCACAGGCTTAAGAACTCTGGATCTGATACCTTTCGTGAATTTCTGTTCTTATTTCTATGTTGTCGTTTTATTGGTAGTATTTTCTCTACTTACAGAAAATTATCAGTCTAGTTAAGGAGACAGAACTATAGAAGAAAACGAAAACTTTAGGATTGATACATAATAGTGGATAAAGAAATGTAAATGAATATAATTTTTATTTCTGACAGCAGTTTCTAGTACAAGATTAAAGAACACAGTCTAATCATATTTTTTAAAAAATATACATTCTCCAGAATGGACATATTTTTGTTCTTTACCTCTTCTTTGCCTTAAGGCTTCAACATGTTGCTCTAAGTCTCAGAAATTTTCTTTATATAAATTTCAAACACTAGAAAATTATGTTCTTTTTGTTTGATTGTTGGTTTTATATTTGGGTTTGGGGTTAGGGGTTTTTTTGGTGTGTTCTCTTTTGAAACAAATAGGTTTTATTTGTTTCTGTTTTGTTTTTGTAGAGAGAGTAAATAGAATACTGGGAACATAACTTTTTCGTTACTTCATCTGAAATTTATTGAGGATTGTGAGAGTGACTGCTGCTTCTTTTTTTTCTTTATAGGAACATACTTGATTCTGACAACTATAGTCCTATTCCAGTTTCAAGTGAAGAGGTCTATAAAAAAGTGGTAGGACAATTTCCATTCCAAGATACAGAGCTGGAAAAGGTAAGCTATAGTTCAGATGCATTTTTCTAGTCATTTTGCATTGTTTAAAGGCTTTGTTGGGGGCTTCCCTCCAAATCTCCTTTCAGGGAGGGAGGTCCGTCTGTTTGGGGATGTAACTTTCTAATAAATCTATCATTACTAAGTACCCTCAAAAAAAAAAGAGGTTTTGTTGGCTCAGTCTCATCAAAACCATTACCTCTGCCTTAATGGGCTTGAACTCTTGAACAACTTCAAAGGACTCTTTGTGGAGCTTAGAACAAGTTTCTGATTTGAAAATCAAGATGACTTCGGGATTTCATCACCTCTGAAGAGATGGAAGGATTATCCCCACTGGGTTTACACTTTGAAATATTTGCTTTATTACACTTTTATGATACTATTTTTCAAAAACAAACGTTCTGCAGGAGAAATATCGACAGTCTCCTCCTGTACAGTTAACTGCCTCTGAAAACCTGGAGGATCTGCTGTGTGTCAGTTCTGACACTGTGGTACACAATAACACAGTGGCGTTTACCCTTTTTTTGGAGTAGCATTAGCATTTAAGTGCATTGTGTTGTGTCTGTGACCACAGTAATGATATAGAACAGTTACATCCTAAAACTTTCCCTTGTTCTGCCTCTTTGCAGTCAGCTTCTATCCATGCCCCATGATTTGGTATCTGTTTATCACATTTACTTTTTTTAGAATTTTGTAAGAAAAAAATTTGTATCTTTTGAGATCAGTTTTTTAAAAACAGCATCATACCTTATGTTCATCCCTGTTATTGAATGTATTAGAAGAGTGTTTTAAATATATATTATTGCTCACTGTGTACTACAGTTAATCTCTCTACCAGTTGAAGGACATTTGGGTTATTGTTTTGTTTAAATTTATGTCTTAGTCTGTTAGTATCAGGAAACTCTTGGAGACAGTTTCATAAATTTGTGATTGTCTAAAAGTTCGAAATACTAAAGAAAGTTTATTTTGTGCTTTAATTACCTTGTAATTGTTTTCCGTGTGTGTTACATTCTGACTTAGTCTCTTTCATTCTTGAATTTACAGCAACCATTTCCAAAAAAGTTTCCTTTCTCTGAATTCGTGCCAAAAGTTTACAACCAAATTAAAGAATTTATCTATGCCTGTCTGAAATTTTCAGAAGATCTTCACCTAAGGTATAGTGTGAAACTATGGAAATGTACCCAGTTTTTGAGTTTGTGACTCTACAATGTATGGATGTGCTGAAAAACTTTGTGTATTTCCTTCACTTCTGATTTTGTAGGACTCAGTATTGGCCCTTCAGAGTAGTGTGTTGTTATTGTTATTAACTGCATTTGAGTTGAGCATGACTCATAGTGACCCCATGAACAAAAGACTGAAGCCCCTCTACATCCATCGACATTTATCATAGTTCATAGAGGTTTCGGAGGAATGCTGTTCAGGACGTGAATGCTACTCCTGCTTCCAAACCTGTCATAGTATGTTACTGCTTTTTTATGTGCCATTGAGTCTCCTGCGATGAATAGCAACCCTGCGTACAGCAGCTCTGAACCCTTCCCTGTCTTGAGCCAGTCTCACTAATTCTGACACACCAACCCCCATCACTTCAGTCGCTGTATTAGTTCATCTCATCTCATCTCATCTCATCTCATCTCATCTCATCTCATCTCATCTCATCTCATGTGTTAACTGTTCACAGTAGTATAGCGCAACTATATTCACCTAGTCAGGGTAGGAGGGAAGTTAGAAACTTGAATAATTTGTGTACTAAGAATGGCACTGCCAACTCAAAAACTCACAATTCAAATCCACCAGCTTCTCTGTGGGGTGAAGATAGGCAGCTCTCCCTCCCATGTGATTTATAGCTGGAAAAATTTCAGACAGTACCATATGAGGAAGAACCAGTGGCTATGAGAAATGAAGCTCAAGCTGTACTGAAGGCAAAAAATTAGGCCCAGGAATCAGTTGAATACCAGTTGATGTGTTTCAGCTAATACATGCAGCCCTGGATGTTTTCAGTAGTTTATACCAGGAAATTTGGAGGACAGTTACCTGACTGACTGACCGGAAAAGATCCTATTTGTCATCATTCCCAAGAAAGGTGAATCAACAGAATGTGGAATTATTGAACAATATCGTCGCTATCTTTCTTATGTAAGCAAAATACTGTTGAAGAGTATTCAAAAATGGCGAGAATAGTACATTGACAGGGAACTGCCAGAGATTCAAGCTGGTTTTAGAAGAGGCTATATGGCACCGGGGTATCATTGCTGAGGTCAGATGGATATTAGCTGAAAGCAGAGAATATCACAAGAATATCTGTTTGTATTGTAAAGACTATGCAAAGGCATATTTCTCTGTGGACCATAATAAGTTTTGGCAACATTGAGAAGAATGGGAATTCCAGAACACTTAATTATGCTCATACAGAATCTATACCTGGACCAATACTGAACAAATTTGTGAAGCCAGACTCTATAAAGGACATGGTGTCAGGTGTAGGAAGACTCATGCGTAATCTGCATTATGCAGATGACACAATATTTGCTGAAAATAAGGAGAATATAAAATTCTTGATGCAGAAGATCAAGGACTATACTCTTTGGTATGGATTACATCTGAACATTAAGAAAACAGAAGTTCTCACCACAGGACCAAAATTATGATAGGTGGAGAAAGGATTGAAGCTTTCAATTATTTTATATTGTTTGGATTAACAGTCAACACCTTTGGTACCAGCAGTCAGAAAATCCGGAGTCATATCACCTTGGGCAATTACTCTGTCAGAGACCTCTCCAAAATACTGTAGAGCAATGATGTCAGTTTGAAGACGAAAGGACACATGATTCAGGCTGTAGTCTTCTTGATCACCTGCTACAAATCATAGAGCTGGGCGGTAAATAAGGATGTAAGAGGAAGAATTGATGCATTAAATTTATGGTATTGGAGAAGAGTACTGAATATCCCATTGACTGACAAAAGAAAAAGTGCAACCTGAGTGCTCGTTGGAGGCAAAGATGCATCCTGTCTTGGAAGAAGCTTCATTTTTCATTCTTTAAATGTGTAGGTAGGCCAGGCTGTTTCTTGGAAAGGGACATCATGATTGGAAAAATGGAGAGTCATTGAAGGCATGGAAGACCCCTAATGAGATGAATTGACACAGTGACTTCAGCAATGGCCTCTAGGGCATCAGAGATGATGAGGATGGCACAAAATAGGACAGGGTGTAAGTCGTCTGTTCATACGGTCTTTATGAGTCGTGCTTGACGACACCTAACAACAACAACAATGGACCGAATTGTCAGGCTTAGAATTGTTTTGTTGTTTACTCACTGTCTGACTTAGAGCAAGTTACTTCTCTGTTCCTTTATTTCCTTAAAGTGGAGATAAAATAAAAGGACTTGATGTGATTATTATGAAGATTAAGTGAGTTTAATTCACTCAAGTTCTTAAAATAGTTCCTGGTACACAGCAGATTTTATTTATAGCTGCAGATATTTCCTTCACTGTTGTCCTCCTCACTCTGATTACTATTATAATTAATTGTATGTTTTCTGAAAGAATTCCATCACCTGATCTGACTGCCTCTTGCCGCATCTTTTTCAGTTCTACGGAAGTTGATGACATGATTCGTAAATCAACAAACCTGTTACTGACCAGGACTCTGAGCAACTCTCTGTTGAACGTCATTAAAAGGAAGAATATTGGACTTGCTGAGGTGAAGCCTCTAACCGCATTTGTTAACACCCTGTGGGAACACAGGCCAGGGTGCTAGCAGATACCTTAAGTTCCAGGTCTCGTGGGTAAAAAACGTCAACCTTTTTGCACAGTTATTGTGCTCTTCTTGATAGTGAGAGGACAAAACATCGTGTTCCTTTAATCATCTCTGAGAAATCTTTTTCGTTTTTTACAGTGTCACTTTTTCTTACTGTTTTCACTCGTTTTCTAGATTTATTAGGATGAATTTGTATCACTTGCCACTGATTAGATTTTTTTTAAAAAAAATTAGTTGGACAACATCAGATTCCTACCCAAATGAATAGCATTTCCAATGTAACAGCTGGGGAAACTATATTTCTTATACATAGCTCACTATTGCCAAAGATAGTCTTTAATTAGTATCAGTAGATTCAGTTTTTGTTTTGAAGTTTACCTCACATAAATGATTAATTAATTACTCTATCAGCATTAAAACTTTGGCAGAAATGCTAATGATTCTTTATTAAAGAAATATGGAAGAAAGGCATTATAGTCAGTATCTTAGGAAACGTCCTTATTTTACATAGGGAGGATCAATCTAATGCATATGCTGAGACTGATGTCTTGACTCATACAAGTTTGAGCCATTCGTACGGAATCTTAGAATTTAGAAAGATAGCTTCAATCTGCTGTGAATTGGAGATTATAGTGCCAAGTAGGAACTTAAAAAAAATTGTATTCACAAAGAATGGGCAAGGTGTTGGCCATATGTTTTACCTGTAGAGGTGTTTAGTTTGAAGGTCAGTGCGCTAAGAAAAAAATGAACTTTAGTAAATTTACACTGTCAAGGATTGTGGTCAAATTCAACAAATAGTTAAGGACCTTGGACTATAGGTAAAGACATCTGGAAGCCAGGTGAGCATCTATTTCTGATTTGGGGAGTGATTTTCTTTCTCTGAAGTAACATTTTGAAAGATTATAATGTGAGATATTGGCCATTATTGAGGTGTTCTTACAAAATCTTTTTTTTCCTTCAGTTGAAAGGTATCTTAGACATTACTTAATCCAGTCCCCCATTTTCCAGAGTTTCCCTCCTGTAAGGTACTTTCTTTTCATAGTCAAGAATACTATGAAAAAGGAAAATTGCAGTGAAGATTAAAATATTTTTCTCCTTTTGTTTTGTTCTTCCTTTTTGAATCCCATTTAGAATAGAAAGTTATATGATCATTTTTAAAAATCTCTCTGATATAACTCTCTTTATGCCATTCAATTGAGCAATCTCTTTTTCTAGATTGTGATTATAGTGAAAGTTTACAGCGAAGATGAAGTTTCATTCATTCATTGATGCACATTTTCCCTTTCCTCTCCCTCCCCCAATTCACATTGTGATGCTTGTCTTGTTCCATATTGTTAATTGCCATACATTTCAGTTTTCTGATAATCTCTGCTTTTGGCTCAGGTCCAGTAGACACCAACAGTGATAGTCCTTGTCTCACATTCTCTTCTGTGTATAACCTGCACTTCTGGTATATTTCTTTCAATATCTGGCTGCAGTAATTTTTTAATGACTTGAAACAGAATTTTACTAGCATGTGATCTTAATGATACTGTTTTATAATTTCCATATTCCTTTTTTTCTTTCTTTGTAGAAGAATATGTACAAATTTATTCTAGTTGCTTGGCCAGATGGCTTCCAGATTTCTTGGCATAATCAATTATATGCTTCCAGAATTGTATTCATTTGTTGAAGCACCTCAGCTAATCTCCCGTTGTTTCGCAGAACTTTTCCTGCCCCTCTCTTCTGTGCAGCTTTGACTTCTTCCTTCAGTCTAGCAGTCAGTGATCATATCTATGCTGCATCCTGGAAGAGTTGTACTTTGACCAGTTTGGGGGTCTTTTGGGGGGAGTATTGTGACTCTGTTTTCCTTCCGTCGTCTTTACTGAGTCCTGCTGAATTCTGTTTTTGTCAGTAGAACCCTTTGTTGATTTCACCCTCGAGGGTGAAATTTTGTTCAGTTATTTTACCTTAAGACATGTTAGTTTTATTCGTCTCTTTTCGTTTTGTAATTCCAGATCTTTGTACTTCTTACCATAATACTTTATTTTCTTGTCATCATTTGAAATCTTTAATTTCTTTCACTTCATCATCTCTTCTTTTCACTTTAACTGTACTAAAGAAGAAACTTCACAACCTCTTTTAACATCCATTTTGACCTGTTTTTTCTTAACCGTCCTATTAGAGACCACAGGTATCAAGTATTTGATTTTTATCATCTCCTGTGGGAGACCAAATACATCACCAGTTCTTTGCATTTTATTTTTTCTATATGAGATCCATGCCGTGTTGTCGTAGCCTTTATTTTTCTTCCTCTGCTGTAGTAGCAGTCGTATTTAAATCTTATCAGTTGTAATTCTACTAGACCTTGGACTCTGGACCCATAAGTTCCGAGTATTTTAAGTGTTATAGGTATTTTAGGGGGAGTTCTGGTGGTGTATTCTGTAGGGAGTTGTGCTGCTCACACCAAGACCCAATCTTCTGTAGGTTCAGATCCATCAGTGGCTCTGAGGGGGAAGAATGAGTAATCTCCTCTCTTGCTGTTGAGAGCATTGAAAGAGCTCTGGATAGTCAGCCATGAGTCAGTTCTGACTCGATGGCAGTGACTTTGAGGGAGCCCTCAACCAGGGCTCCCTTTGAGGGAGTTGCACTACTAACTTAAAGGAAAGGAGTTAGTTACACTGCTATTCCACCTCTCTAGTGGTTCAAATCCACCTGCAGCTCCTCAGAAAAAAAGATGAAAACTCTCCTTCCATGCACTTTTTACAACTTTGGGAAATCTACTGACGGGGCAGCTATTGAATTGGTTCCAACTCTACATCAATGAGAGGGAGAGAAAGAGAGATTTTAGTGTTGAGGGTGTTAACATGAATTTGTTCACACAACATTTCATTTCCTAGCTAGGGTAAAATAGATAGAATTCCTTGATGCCTTTAAGGATAGCCCACTTTTTTGTTAATGAGAACGGAGGCTGCTGCTTTAGTTCTTTGTCTTCTTGGCCATCTGACAGTTTAGGGACACTGATGGGGAGGAGTCTGATTTCTCATTTTCTTCCTTTGTGTTGCATCTGGAGCTTCAGTGAGTTGAGTTTTCTATTTTTGGAAGCAGGCTAATATAAATATTTGTGTATGCTCCTGAAGCAGTTTATAGTTGGGAATGGAAACTAATGGAGGTGATGAAGACATATTATCTCTGTAGCAAGTGAAGACTAGGGTCTTAGGTCTTCGGTTCCAGGGAAGTGGCTGGAGCAGGGTCAGAGGACACAAAACCTCCATAGTGTGTGTGCTGTTCCTTCCTTCCTGATCTAGAGTGGGAGAGAAAGAACATCTTCCAGTTCTGACTAGTTTTGAACTTAAGTGATAGCTGTCATTCTGTCTTTAATTGTGAAGGGTGATTGTTCAGTTGTTCTTCTTTTAATGAAGTCTTTGTACCGCTCTCAAATACATTTGTTGTTTTTATTGTTGTTTACATCAAGCACTGACCCATAGCTGATTCTCTAGCAGTTTTTCGGAGGCATTTAATCACATGGGAGGAGATTGCCCTTCCTTCTCCTGTGGAGCAGCTGGTGGGTTTGAACTTGCATGCTTACATTTACATAAGATATTAACAAATACCTACTCTGTTGTTACTTCCATGTCCTTGAAACAACGCTAAGGCTGATTTGGGCTGCTGCCGTGGTATATTTTTGTAAGAGAGTGGGAAGTAGGGGTTAAAAATACCATCAGAGGTACTCTAACTCTGATGGAAGTTGATATCTGAAATTGCTTTCTTTCATCTTTAAGTTTAAAATTACCCCCAAAGCATCTCACTTCACATTTGTAAATGAGGTTCTGAGGATTTTGGTATCTGTCATTCAGGAGTAAAGATCACTTAGACCTCATTAACAGACAATATTCCCTCTGAAAATGACATGGTATCTACTGTAATCCTAGAGTGTTTTAATAGTCTATTCTATACTCAGCAATGAAACATTTCAAAAGTGACTGACAGCCAGTTGATGCAATTCATGGTGATCTTTTGTGTTGACAGATCTTTAAAAAGTCATGGGAAATTACTACTGTACCCAGTTGAAACTGCCTCCTTTTTAAAAAAACTGCCAATATCCTGCAAAACAGGACAATTTTCTCTTTGACTGCCACTGGTTTTTTTATTTCTATAACATGACATGGTGCCTCTGTATTATTATTATTTCCTTTGACAGACAGAATGCCCTCCCTATAGGTAAAATGAATTTTAAAATAGAAATTTTTTTTAGTTCTCCAAATTATCTCTTACTTTTCTGACTTGCACATCAAGACAACCTTGCCAGTAGCCACCTTCCTACTCAGGAAGAAGAGTGATTTAATTTAGACAACTTAAATTTTTAAAGTTATTTTAGTCTTCCTCCAAGGGAGAAACAAAACGAAAGGAAAAAGTTGATGAATTACTTATTTTGATAGTTGGGTTTTTATTTGGTTTTTTCCCCTCTGTAGAGCATCCTAAAATTAAAGACTAGTTTCTTTTTTCTTAATTTTATGGAAGATAAATTTTATAGATTTGTCCAAAATTCATAGCCTCCAATTCAGGCACTGGTTTGAAGAGTAGGGCCTTCTGATCAAAGTTGTTGGAACAATATGTTGAAATAACATTTCTGGTCTTTACCTTTAATCATTATGTTTTAAAACAGTTTTTCCTTAGGTTGTTAAGGTAACACTAGTAGAGTGTAAGTTTCCTTTGACCTTCCTCCAAGGCTTTACTAAGATGTTTTCATTCTGAGTAAGAATGCACTTTCTCTTAGTCCATGCAGAGTGTAATGGGGAAGAACACACTTGGCCACCGTCATTCTAGTCATATGTTTTTTAAAAATGTTCCACTCTGTACAACAGTAACTCTTACTGAGGCATCATTCCAACATTTATATGCTGTTTTGAAATACTTTCTAGTTGCAAAAAAATATGTGCTACTTCACGCATCTCTTCAGTCCCCATTTCTTTTGCTTTCATCTGGGTCTTCCTCTTGCTCGTTATTTAAATCACTGGCTCTCCCTCTTGCTCATTTAAAGAATGGCTGAGAATATCAGCAGTGTGACCTAAGACTCTCTCCACCACCAGATACCACGTATTGTGAAAATTAAAAAGCTGAATATGTAGGGAAAAGACAATATTAGATTATTTTTAATTTTTTAAAAATTTTTCCTTCCCTTTTTGTTGTTGTGTTGTTAAGTGCTATTGCGTTGACTATGATTCACAAGGACCCGAAGAGCATAGGATAGAAACTGTCCTACCCCACGCCATCCTCACCACCTCTGCCATGGTCAAGCCCATTGCTGCAGTCACTAGATCGTTCTATCATACTGATAGACTTTGGGGAAAGTAAACATTTGGGGAAAGTTTTCATAATTAAAATATTAGTCAGTACCACTCGTTTTTAGTTAGGGTCAAGTTTTCGGGGAGTGGTTGCTTTTTGTTTGTTTGTTTGAAAGGTCAGCTGTGAGTGGAGAGTGAGTTTTAAGTTAGTGTAGGTGGTCATTAGGGTCAGGAAGGACACCTACACTCGTGCCTTAATGTACACTGCTCCTGCTACAGCCAGCCTCTGCTTGCCTGCAATTTGTTTGGGTTTTTTGTTGTTGGTTTTTTTCAGTATCTGCAGATTTATAGTGAACAACGCAAACCTGGGATAAACACTTGAATATGACTCTCTTATTTCCACATTGTTTTCCAGCTTGTTCAGATTATCATCAACACAACTCACTTAGAGAAGTCCTGTAAATACTTGGAAGAGTTCATTACCAACATCACTAATGTGCTTCCAGAGACAGTCCACACCACCAAGCTCTATGGGACGACAACCTTCAAGGTGAGCAGCTGCCACAGAACTGTGACCCTGGTTCTGGTGAGCGTGGTGGGAACACTTTAGTATAATCTGTAACATATCTTGGGTCTATTTTTAGATGTATACACAGAAGAAACAATTAAATATAAATGGTGTTTCCCAAACCCTTTCTTCTATTTTAGACATAAATGTGTCTATTTCCTAAGTTGGCAGTGATCGTAGTCAAGAATTCTTAATAGTGGCATGAATGGTAGTGGTTACTGTTGACCTCTATTCATTTCTAATTAGCTGTCTCTTCCTTTCTGTGCCTTTTCTCTAATGTTTTCTTATTTTGTAGTGAGGAATTTTTGCCCTTTGCTATGTGTTGTGAGCTCTGGTGGCTTATAATGAGTTTTACTGTTTGTGATAAGGGGTGTGGTTCAAATCCACCAGCTGCTCCACGGGAGGAAAGTGGGCAGTTCCCTCCCATTTGATTAAAACACACTGCGGCACCGGGCTTAGAAACACATTTAGCCGTCATTTGTGGCAAGGTTTTTAACTAACTCTGGGAACCCACTGGAGGGTCAGCTGTGGGTTGATTCTGACTGGACGGTACACAACAATAACATTGTATTTAGCATTTTCTTTTCACAAGTCCATGCTAGTGGTTTGAGCCAGCTTTGGATCAAACAGGAAAGATGATACTCCTACAGAGAAAAGTATACTCACGGTGGATAAGCTTGTGGGGCTTTATTATCGAAGCTCTTTTAGGACTCTGGTATGTTGCCATGTGCACTTGAATTGAGTATTAAGAAGAAGTAACAGGGCAGCTTCTGAACTTCCTTTCAAAGGGTGGATTCTGATATGAAGCCTAGCTTGTATGGTTTGAATGTTTGGTTTTTGTTTAGTTCTGCATATTCAGAGTCACCCTTTTGAACTTCACACATTGATCTCAATTAGTTCTACCCTTAAATCCATGATTCATACCCCTTTTCTAATGCATTATATATACAGTCAGGGAAAAGTCAGAGCCAAGGTGAGGCACTATGGTGGGGTAGTTGTTAGGGAGGTGCTCTGCTGACCCAAAGGCCACACCTGTCTGGATTCCTTCAGTGATTCTTTCGGAGAAAATGGGCGATGCCATTTCCAGCATTGAAAATTCAGTGGAGGATAAGCTATGAGATGGTCCAGACGGCAGAGGGAGAGAGTGAGAGAGAAGAAAGAGAGTGTGTGTAAGGAGCTCTGATGGTGTGGTACATCCGAAAGGTCTTCTCGAAGAAGGTATGCAGTATTCCCCCAAATACACACACACACACTCTCTCTCTCTCTCTCTCTCTCTCACACACACACTCTCACACACATGACTGACAACTACTCATCAATTCGACAGCAGTTATTTAGTGCTACTTTTACTTGATTCATTTTCTTCTTTATTAGTTCTTTTCCTGGAAAGTAGAAATAAGGTGAGTCAAATTCAGTTCACATTGCTTCTTGTATTTTGTCAGAGAAAGAAAATTATTACAACCTACTCTTTTTTTGATTGTAAGAAAAATTCAGATGTTCACCCATAAAATAAGCTTTTTGGATGTACCGGTGTGATTAGGTCTGCTGCTGAACAGCATTGCATATTCATGATGTTATATGGTTGGTTGTTTCTAACTACCTCCCAATTGACTTAACAATTATTTGTTATATCATCTTCGTTTCTTTACTGGGACATTTTAAAACAATCAATCCAAAGGCACTAGGTTTAAATCCCCCAGATGCTCCCCTAGAGAAAAATGGGCAGTCTCCTCCTGTGTGATTTACTGCCTCTGAAAACCTGCTGGAAGGGCTCCTATGAGCCAGTTTCAATATGTTGGTCCATAATGACATTGTTATATTAAAATTTATTATCCTTATAAGTTTTGGGAGGGTGGAAGGACAGTGCAGGAGAGGAGGACCATTGATGAGATGGATTGACTCAGTGACTGGGGTAATGGGGGTAGGTGTGTCGGAGACAGTGAGATTGATACAGGATAGAGCAGGGTTAGGTCACTGTGAGTCGCAGGTGACTTGATGGCACATAACAACAACATAATTGTCTAAGGTCATTCTGAAGTTTCTAAAGTTCTGTGGTGTTTTCTTATTTATCCTTGGAGATTCTTTATAACAATATTGTTTTAATATATTACTTTAATACACTGTTCTAAAATAAAGAATAAAATAAGAAAAATACTACAAGAACTTCAGAAACTTCAGAATGACCTTAGAAAATTAATGATAACAAATTTTAATATAACATACATTGTGTTGTTATGGACCATCATATTGGAACTGGCTCATAGCTGCCCTTCCAACAGGTTTTCAGAGGCATTAAGTCACGCAGGAGGAGAATTCCTCTTTTTCTCCAGGGGAGCAGCTGCGGGATTTGAACCTAGAGCTTTTTGGTTGGTGGTGCAATTTCCACCCCGCAAGCCACCTATAGCTCCCTAATCTAATATGTTGTTGTTCTTTTGTGCTGTTAAGTTGGAACCAACTTGTAACTGACCTTCCAGCAGGTTTTCAGAGGCAGTAAATTGCATGGGAGGAGATTACACATCTTTAACCTGTGGAGTAGCTGGTGAATTTGAACCAACTGTGTATTGGTAGCAAATTCCTACTATTAAACAACCAGAGCTCCCTAATATAATAGATACTAAGTGATAATCATAATAAGTTATAACTTCTTATATAGACTAACATTAAGGAGCATGAGCAAAACTTCCTTTTTTTAAAAAATCCATTTGGACATACTGTGAAAACCAAAGTTTCTCCAGGAAAAGATGTTGAAAGGACTATAGTTTAGTGATGAGCAGAGAATAAGGAAAGAGAAGGGGAAGCTCATTTGCATTTTTATTAGAGAAAAGATGTGTAAAGCCTATTGCTCCTCTTTTTAATCCAAGTCTCACTTTTCTTGTTTCAAAGTCTTTTCAAACTATGTGTAATCTTACGGCTAAATTCTTTCCAAAGGAAAGCCTGTGTGGTGTTGCTGTCTCAGCATTGAAAATTCTGAGAGAGACTTTAAGACAGACAGAAAGCCATAGGGTTGAACAACCAGTTAAATCTTTATGTAAAAAAAAAATCTTTATATGCCGAGTTAAAGAGAGATTCTGGAGACCACTTAAAGGTTACGTTGACAGTGATGATTGGAAACACTGATTGCTTAAAACACATCCAAAGTTTATTTTTACCAGGGCTGTTTCAGACCAGTTAACCCCAAACTCAGTATAAACATGGCAATTATAACAGTTCCATGTTGTGTATTTTCCTAAGCTACTGTTTCCAGAAACATTGCCTTGCACATGGAAACCTTTGTTCTGGAAAAAGAGCAAAAAGAATCAGGTCTTCAAGGTATTTTCTTGCAGAACTCCCTCTTGTTTGTGCTATGTGTGACACAACTGAGCTGTCATTCTTAGTTTTCCTTATACATAGACTTTTATCATTTTGTTACAAAAGAGAAAATGGCTTTGTCCATTTACTCTAGTACACATACTGCTTGAGTACTATGTGACAGTCTGGTGGAATCTTGGGAAGAGAGAGTAAAAATACTCCCTGGACTTTGAGTTTGTGATCTACAGAGAAGTAAGACATGATATATTCTGTAAAGACCTGTAAAAGATACTAGAACAATGGATTAAATATGTTCAATTCCTCATTGATTTGACAGATTTTTAGAAAACCTTTATTATGTACCAGGTAAGGGTATAAAAAGTGAGAAAATTGCCATAAATCTCATGTGTTTCAGAGAACAGTTGTTCAGTTTTCAATAAATGACAACGTCATAGGATTTTCAACAATTCATTTCAGTGAATGTCAATAACCTTAGATAGCTTATAGTCTTCTGATGCTATAATGTTTTTTGTTTGTTTGTTTTTCTTGATAAGACTTAGTGAGAAAAAGAAATGATCTAGGTGAAATTGATCCTTTTGAATTTCCGAGGAGTTGTGCATTGGTGGGTATTGGTATGGTCAAAGAATCACTCAGAAGTTTATCTGGCTGGACATTAATGTATCAGTCACTGATAACAGAAGTGGTAGAATATGAGAAGGCAGATGACTTCTGGTCTTGTACATGACTAGAAATATGTTGAACTTTATTCTGATGTTAGGTGTGACATCATTAGAAGATTTTAGTGGTAATGACATGATCTATATTTTTAGTGGGTAACATTGGTTGCTATCTGGAAAATTAACCATAACTTAATAATAAAGGAAGAAGATTAATCTGTTTGCAGGCTGTTGTAGACCAAGTAAGTAATAGTGTTAGATGTAAAAGTGATAAGATCTGTTTTTGAAGGTTGAGATAACAAGTCATGGTGTTGACTTGAGTATGGATTTTTAAGAGATAGTGTAATGTCAAGGATAATGTTAAAGTTTTGAAGTGAGCGAACTGAGTGAATCAGGTACAGTTGAGGTGAGGAATATGGAGAAATCACGTATTTGGGAAGAGGCAGGAAAAACTGAGACTTCTCTGTTAAGCTTGAACTAGTTAATATAGTTATTTGCATAGAGCTGTTTAGTAGAAAAGGCAAACTAAGAGCTAGAGAGAAAAATTTCAAATTTTACAGTGTAAATGTTCTTAAGTGGGTTTTCAGAGGCTGTAAATCGCATTGCCTATCTTTCTCCCACAGAATCTACATATGGTGGATTCAAATCAACTGCCTTTGATTGTCAGTGGAACTCCTTACCACTAGGCCACCACAAACTGTATTATATACTGAATACACTTATTCAAGTTTTGTGAAAAGTTTTGTATTGAAGTTGTGTGAAATTTATACAACATGATTTTGAATTAAAAATAAGATTACAAAACATCAATAGTATGTGAGCTCTGATGCCTTGCATTTGCACTTGCCAACCTAAAGATACGCAGTTCAAATCCACCATCTGCTCCGTGGGAGAAAGATTATCAGTCTCTTCTGATGTGATTGACAGCATCCAAAAACCTGATGGAGGATCACCTATGAGTCAGTTCAAACTTGCCAGTGGACAATATTTATTATATAGTTCTTGCAACGGATTATCTGTCTCTGGGTGTGTGTGTGTGTGTATATATATATATTTTTTTTTACTGGAATGAAAGTTTACAAATTGGATTGGTTTTTATTTAATCATTCATAGACAATTTTTATAATGTTAATCACTTTGGACTAATACAATTAACTAATTACAATGTCTAATCAATCCCTTTGTGTATTACCTTTTCTGTTACTCAGTTCATTTATTAATTTTTTATCTCTTCACAAAGAGATATAGAATATTTCCTTAAATGTTAATTGATTTTCTATAGTAGAAGAATTTTAGGTTTTTATTTATAGTTTTTATAATTTCTTAAACATTTTATAATGATTTGAAATATTATAGAAACTAATTTCTTTTTGCTTTGATTCAGAAATAACAATTTCTTAGGTAGTTAATATGAAGAGTATAGTATTAGAGTGAAAGAAGGTAGAGATCTCCCCTACAATGCTAGGTACAAGCAGAGAGAAGGGTGGTTGTCGCTGTGTATTGTTGAGTCATAACTGACCCATAGCTGACCCTAAACAGTAATATATGTCTTGAATGACAGCATGTTGGGAGAAGATCTGATTGAAGACAGAGGATTCATTTCATGAATTCCTATGACTATAAGCTGCTGGAATTTATGAAATCAACCAAAGAAAGCTACAAGAGTACAATCCAGAGAAGGGAGGAGGGGAACAAAGCCACACTTCTGTTAAAGCCAGGGGAGGACAAAGTTTTAAGCAGAGTGCTTAATGAAGACCACGTAAAAACAGACTTAAAAAAAGGAATTTTGGATGTGGTAGTGAGGAGGCCACTAGTTACATTTGACCAGTCCATGTTAGTAAGATGTCAGCTCTTGATTGCCTTGGTGCAGTGTAGACCATTTTGTCATAAAGTTTTCTTAGAACATCAGTTCCACAGCATTTAGGGTTTTTACTTACTATGCTGATGTACAGTGTGAATCTATGAGATAAGACTGCTTTTGCTTCCTTAATCCAGAAACTCAGATGCTGTTTCTTTAGTATTTTACAGGGTTAACTTATACGTTTTAGAAATTATTAGTTTATACCAATATTTGAGAAAATTTGATAATTTTCTTCAAGACTATTTCTCAGAGTGTAATTTTTATAGAAATAAGGAAAAAAGGTAGAAGAAAGAATTTGAGGTATCTCTTTCCGTTCTAAGTATGTGTGTGTGTATAATTCAGATTTCCTATTGAAATTCTCTGTCTTTCAAAAATGAGAAAGAATATAAAGGATGGTAACTAATTGGAATATGTTGCATAAAATGTTTTGTTTTTTAAAAATCTGAAACTTAAGTGTAGTTATAAGTTAAAGGAAAGGAAAAAGTTGTTAGGAGAAGTTGGTCTAGGAAAGACAATTCTTGGAGCCCCAGAAGAGGTAAAAAGAAATAGGATCCTGAGAGCAAGTTGAGCTCTGAACAAGGATAAGAAAGTTAAAAAAGATGCAGAAATCTTAGACTAGTGTAGATAATTTACCCATTTATGAAACAACAAAAGACCTTGTCTTATAGACAAAGGAAAAGAGCAAAAAACACTTGAAGTTGTTTTAGAAAAATGGATGGGGACAGTGATAGTACTGAATATGTTCAGTTATGTTACCTAATGGTATGAGTATAGTGTCTCCAAGCACACGTCTCTGCCTTGCCCACACTGTAGCTTTCCTGAGGTTTCATATTCTTTCTTTTTTCCCAGGATGCTAGGCATGCAGCTGAGGAAGAGATTTATACCAACCTAAACCAGAAGATCGACCAGTTTCTGCAGCTGGCTGACTATGACTGGATGGCAGGAGATTTGGGCAGCAAAGCCAGTGACTACCTGATCGACCTCATTGCCTTCCTCCGTAGCACCTTTACTGTCTTCACACACCTTCCTGTAAGTGACTTTTGTTTAGTTTTGCTTGCAATAGAAGAGAAAAGCATTTCCCTTCAGGTCTCCTTTAGTGAGGACTTTTGTTTCTGCTCTAACTATCCAAGAAGTTGTTGAGACTCTCAGTCACATAATTTTCAGCCCTTAAAAGGACTAGATGAACCCATTTCTGTAACTTTTTCGTTGACTTCTGCATTTTATTTATTCTTAAAATGGTCTATAATATCATGATTTCTTATCAAGATTCCTGCTGACTTGAAGATAACTGATGTATAGACAGAGTGTAATTTTTATAGAAATAGGGAAAAAGGTAGAAGAAAGAATTTGAGGTATCTCTTTCCATTCTAAGTATGTGTGTGTATATAATTCAGATTTCCTATTGAAATTCTCTCTTTCAAAAATCTACTTTGTGTTCTGACCTCTATTTTCTCTGACATTTTAATGAGTCATTTTAAAGTCACTGTTTGCTGACTCCAGTGCTCCAGGTGTTCACCTGAATCTGTTTGATTTGTCCTTTGATTACTTTTCCTATGATCTGTCTCTATACAATGCTAGTATTTTTTGATTGATGTTAGACATTGTGTTTAAATATGTTTCAGTTGATAGTTTCCAGTTTCCCATTCCTTTGCTAAGTAGGCTAGGTGGGTAGGTAGGTGGTGGTTTGTGACTGATCACCTTTATCTAGTCACGGACTAAGCTGAATCATGGTTGAGCTATGGTTGCTATCCACTTCTGTTTTTCCCCTTTTACTAGGATGTGATTTTGCAGGACTTTATTAAGGCCATTATCTTGTCAACACCAAATAGGGTATGGAAATTTTACTTCTCACAGAAACTTTCTTTTTTATTTTATTATTAATCCTTTTATTTTTCCATACTTTAAAAAAATTTTTTATACTGGTTTATATAACAAAGTTGATAAAGTTTATATACATTGTTTTTCACACTGGGTATTTCCTCTTTCCTTTACCCACACCCTCCATCAAATTGTGTGACCCTATGATTAAGCTCCTCCGTCCTTGGATCCTTGTGTTCACTCTACAATAATGGTCCTATGCAGTATTTGTCTTTATAAGACTGAGTTAGTTCACTTAACATAATGCTCTCAGCCCCTCCCATGTTAGATAGTAATTTAAAAAATCATTGCTTCTTTGTACTGCGCAGTATTCCATTATGTGAATGTACCATACTTCCTCAGTCCATTCCATTGTGGTTGGGCATATGGGCTGTTTCCATTTTCTTGCAATGGTGAAGAGTGCTGCCATGAACATTGGTGTACAAGTCTCCATTTGTTCTTGTAATGTTGAATAACACTGCTCGAACTTTTTCTCTTTATTTTTTTTTCTATAATTATATTTTATTAATTTTCATAAACATTTACAGAGATTTGGGGCTTCCACTCATTCATTGTTGCACTATTCTCTCTACCCTCCTCCCAGTTTGTTCTTGTCCAAATGCCACAGTGCTTGTCAAAGCCAGTTCTGATTAATCTTCTTTGTCAGTGTGTCCTTTGCCATTCCCTATCACTCCTCCCTGAGAGAGACTTCACCCTGAGTCATAAGGAAAAGGGGATGGCGTATTCTCTTAGCTACTTCCTGCTGAAAAGGGATGCTGTGGGTTTCAGGGTGAAGGTCTTTTCTCACTACTCTAAAGGGCCCCTTGCCAATTTGTCCAAGCCCGTTATTACAGTCCCAAGATATATTTGTGATATATATATGTGATATATTTGATTGCTTCCTAAGCATCTGAACGTTGGACAGTGAAAAAGATGACTGAGGAAGAATAGATGACTTTGAATTGTGTTGGCAAGTAGTTGACTATCCCATGGCCTGCCAGAAGAACAAACAAATCTGTTTTGGAGGTACTGTAAGCAGGGTGCTCCTTAGAAGCAAGGATGGTGAAAATTCGTCTCATATACTTTAAGCATGTAATCAGGAGGGTCTGCACTTTGAAAATGACATTATCCTTGGAAAAGTGGAGGGTCAATGAGGGAAAAGAAGTCTATCAATGAAATGGACTGAAACAGTGACTGCTAGAGGATTGTGGAGATTGTGAGGATTGTGCAGGATAGGCAAGGTTTCAGTCTTATTTATAAGGTGGCTCTAAGTCATAGGTGACTTAACAGCACATAATAACAATAACAGCAGATCCCTTAGTACTATTAAACATTATGGAGGACTCCAGCTTTTGTTGAGATGGATGGATGGGTGGATGGACGGACAGATAATTTATTGTGTTCATCTTAATATAAATGAGTACTGTTATTTAAAATATTAAGATGGATAAATCATTCAATATCTTATTAGAACTGAATACTGAGACATTTTAATATGCGTATACTTATTTTAAAATAACAGTAACCCATTCAATAATTAGTCACACACATATTTTTCCTAGTAAAGTATATTTTCCAAAACAAAAGACATGCTCTGAGAGAGTGACATCGTTGTTGTTATGTGCCATCAAGTCACCTGTAACTCATATAGACCTTATGTACAACAGCTCTAAACCCTACACCATCTTAAGCCAATTTCATTGTCTCCAATACATGTGTCCCCTATTATCCCAGTCACTGAATCAATCCATCTCATTCTGGGTCTTCCTCTTTTTTTTGTCCCTTCACCCTGCCGAGCATTATGACCCTCCCCAAGGACTGGTCACTCCTGGCAACATGCCCAAAGTATGTCAGACAGAGCTTCGGAATCCTTGCCTCTGAGGAGCAGCCAAGTTTTGCCCTCCCTAGGATGGACCTGTTTGTTCTTCTAGCAGTCCATATTCAATACTCTTCTCCAGCACCACAGCTCAGAGGCATCAATCCTCCTATCATCCCTAGTCATACCTTGTAATACATATTTTTAATTTCATGTAATGTATTTTGAGATGGACCAGCTTTGGCCACTTTGAATCAGATAATCATATGGTGTACTCTGCATGGAATGAAAAACAGGAAAAATAGTGTTGAATTCATGGTAAAAAAGTCAATTTCAAGTTCTATCCTGAAATACAATGTTGTGAGGGATAGGATTAACTGTAGACTTAGGGGAATTTTATTTTAGGAAATGAGTATTCAAGATTATCCTAAAACCAATAAAGTTTTATATATAGTAAATGATAACAATGTATACACTTAATAAGCCTTTAATATGTATTTTATGCTTTTAATAGGTAATTATTAATATTAAAACTTGAGTCTTTTTGTAGTATATACAAAGGCATCAGCCATTTTGCAGTTATTATAATGTTGATAAGCTGCCTTACCGATGCTGAAGGAAATGTTGGCTCCTGAGGGGACATTTAATTGTCCTCTTTCTTTAGGGTTCCCCTTTCCTTTAGCAGTAGTCCTTGGGGATCCTCCCAGTGTTTTTTGTTTTGTTTATCTCTTTACCTTCTTAGTGGAATCTAGCTCTCAAGAGTACGGCAAGGAGGTAGAGAGTCTAATGAGTGTTAGCTTCAGCATGTTGAGTGTCAGTAAAAATGCTTCCGCCTCCAATCCTAGTCCATAGCTGGAGGAGATCTGATGTCACAGAGGTTAAAGCATTTGGCTGCTAACCACAAGGTCAATTGTTTGAATCTACTAGCCACTCCTCTCGAAAATGTGACAGTCTGCTTCTGTCAGCATTTTCAGCTTTGGGAATCCTATTGGGAATTTCCGCTTTGTGTTATAGGGAGCTCCGGTGGTCTAGTGGTAAGAATTTGTGCCACCAGCTTGAAGGCACATGATTCAAATCCACCAGCTGCTCCTTGGGAGAAAGATGAGTAGTCGCCTTCTCTGTGATATATAGCCTCTGAAGAATCACCGGAAGGTTATCTAAAAGTTGGCCCCAACTTAATGCATATAACAATAGCTCTTAACTTCTAGGGTCACCATGAATCAGACTGGACTTGACAGTTGTTGTTATGTGCCACCGAGTTGCTTGCGACTCATAGCGACCCTTTGTACAACAGCCTTAAACTCTGCTCCGTCCTGTGCCAATCGCACTGTCTCCGACACACCCATCCCAATTAACCCAGTCACTGAATCAATCCATCTCTTAGAGGGCCTTCCTCTCCTGCGCCGTCCCTCCACCCTCCCAAGCATGACGTCCCTCTCCAAGGACCAGTCCTTCCTTACAACATGTCCAAAGTATGTTAGATGGAGCCTCAGAATCCTTTCCTCCAAGGAACTACCTGGTTTAACCCTTTCCAGGACAAATCTGTTTGTTTTCCTAGCAGTCCATGGTATTCTCAATACTCTTCTCCAGCACCACAGCTCAAAGGCATCAATTCTCCTTCTATCCTTCTTAGTCATTGTCCAACTCTCTGATGCATAACAAGTGATAGCAAAGACCATGGCATGAATCCGACGCACCTTAGGCTCCAAAGAGTCAACATTGCTCTTACAGTACTTTGGAGAGGTCCCTAACAGCAGACTTTCCCATGGCAATAAGTCTTTTAATTTCCTGACTACTGTTGCCGAGAGTGTTGACTGTGGAGCCAAGCAAACTAAAGCTGTGAACAATCTCGATCTCTTCACCATCCATCCTGATGCTGCCAATTGGTCCAGTGGTGAGAATCTTTGTCTTCTTGACATTGAGCTTCAATCCATACTTGACAGTAGTTTATTTAATTTGGCTTAAGCCCAGCTCTGGAGCTAATTCATGACTCCAGTCTATGGTAGTAGCTTTGGTTAGCTCTGTCTGGACCTATTCTGCCTGTGCTGCTGAGAGACAGCTACTAGGCTTGGTACAGTATTAGAGCTAAAGCTCTTTGTGGAAACCCAAGGCAGCTGCTAGGGCCCTCTTTCTGAGTCTGTGAGCTCCTCTGTGGTAGATAGCACTGGATCTGATTGGTTGTTTAATTGAAAGCTACCGTTCCCCACAACTCCCAAACATATCAGTCGTGAATGTCAGCTTATCTTGGGACTCCCCTTCACTGTTTGCCATGAGTTAACAAAACACCTCTCTCACTGATGCTTACTTCCTTGCTTAAAAACCTTTGCTGTATCCCCAGTCTCTACCTTGTATGACT